ATCGTTCGCTACTTCTATTGTCTTGACATCTTCAATGTCACTCAGAAACCATTCCCATTTCCCAATGACACAGCAGACCTCAAATGCATTGAAGTCCACCTATTGGAAGGTTTCGAGAATGCTGCTACAACATTTGGTTTATCAGCACTAGCAGTTGCTATCATAACGTGGATACTACTGACATGCAGTAAAGGGGATAGAGCTAGAAAGCGAACCTCAGGTCGTCTGCTCTGTATTCCAGTCATCATGCTCTTTCAAGTTATTGGCCTCTTTGTCCCTCGCATCATTTTCCTATACTACCTTTCCCATGTTGTAGTATCAGCTGACAGGAATTTGTACTGGACATATGAGTCGATTATTCATGCACCCATTCCTGCTGTCACTAATGAAGAGTCCCTCTTTGCTGGTATTGCAATACTTGATGCTGTTAGTTTAACCATGCTCACTCCTTGGCTCTGCTTTGAGAAAATCGATCCAGAAGAGGAAGATGCTGCTACAAGCCCAAGACTCAAATCAACCAATCAAACATTTGAAATGGCCTGATGATACTCAAGCAGTCAAGCCTTCAAAGACGATAATTATTTGAGCTAAAATTGCCACAAACAAACAGTCTATTCTTTAGTTTATTATGTAGCTAGAGCTGTAGAACAAAGAATCATGTTGTGTGTAACTTTTAAGGTCTAGTATTTTTTGTTAGAATAATTAAATTTTTGTGGTTGCATTCCTGACCTGCCCTTATACATTACCAAGGGACATTACACGTATAGTAAATGCTAAAGGCTATCCACTTTCTTTGAGTAATGTAAAGTGTAAACAAGCTTAATATTCAGTTAACTTTTCTTGATGTACTGATTAAAGAAGAAAATAAAATAAAAAAGATTGAATGGAAAGTCAAAGTTTCTCTAGCACCTATATAATGTAAAAAGAGACATAATTTAACGAGATGAGTATAGACCCCTTTCGGCGAGAAGTAGCAGCTTGTGAATATCATTAATTTTGCAATGAATATCATTATATCTCAGTTACGGTATACGCCCACATACAATAATTGGCCGCCATGTTTTACGTCAAGCAGCAAGTGCTTTCTGTGTCCTGGAGATCTTGGTCACTACATTTTGAAGCTAAAAACTATTCTAGAGTCAAGAAAGATGCCAAGAGAGCCAACCTAGGAAGTATAGTGCAATACTCTTGCTGTATGAGCCTGCTTTGCTCTTTGGGCTGTGACAGAGAGTCAAGAACTGATCGTTCTGGCTCTCCCAGACTTCTTAAGTCTTCAAAATATCTTGCTATAGTAAAGAACAGTTGATATGAAGCCTCTCATAGTCCTGAGTTCAGCACAACAAAAGTTTTATTGGCAAAACAGCTCTACTTTGCACATCAGCCATTGGAACTCTGCATTACTTTGACGTAAAACATGGCGGACAAAAATTCGTTCAATATTATTTCTTTGTATATACGGTATTACAAACTAATTCTCGCCTAAAGGGGTCTATAGCATGCATATACAGTATACTTCACTGTATTTTCTTACCTTCAATGGTCACAGTGAATAATATTAATCTTACAGGCTTACTTTAGCTATGGTAGGTCTTTGATCTCTATATGGGTTGGTGCATTTCTCTGCTAGTTCCTCTAGTCTCTCACCATCACTCCTGGACCAACATGATAAATAAAACTCAGCTGTGTTGTCACATTCATCAAGAAAACTTATCTACAAGAGAGAAGAGGAATAATAGTGTCAAATGCATTTTGTTGCATTAGGTGTGTAGGAGAAGCATGTTTGCTTGTCATTGGAGTATTATTAGGTTAAATTGAACTAACAATATCAGTATCTGATCCTTTGGGGCTGTGTAATGCCAAACATCCAAACACCAGCTCAAGTATCACCTGAAAGAGAACACACACACACAAGCAATAAGATATACTGTATAGCAGGTTTATTTTGAGGATAATAATTTTCCTGAATGGCATGTATCCGGAGGTTCACGGAATTGATTTTCGCGAATTTCCACATTTCTGCCATCTTGTACCATATTAAATTGATTTTCAAGGAATTTAATTTCACGAATCTTCAAAAATCTGCGAAATTTGCGACATTTGTTATCCTTGAAATAAACCCGCTATACAGCAATAGTAAAAATTCTATCATTAGTGCACACACAAACACACTAGTAAGAGCAGCATTCAGAGGTCATTAATATGCTAAAAGATTACACTTACCACACCAAGTGAATAGACATCAGCTGAAGGTGATACTAGGCCAGTGCAGTACTCTGGTGACATGTAGACTCTAGTACCAACTATCCTTTGAGTTACAACAGTCGTAGTTTCTAAACTGAGTGTCCTAGCTATGCCAAAGTCTGTTAATACACCTCTCCAGTTTTGATCCAAGAGAATATTAGCACTGGGGAAAGGAGAGAGTGATGACATAAGATTTTGAAAATGGTCATAACTTGAAAAATTAAAGTTGGAATAAGCTCAAACTTTCTACACAGTATAAGGACGTCAATATGTATCAGAAAATGTAATAAAAATATGGGGTGATTTCGGAGCCATTTTTCGGAAAAAACCATGGGCTATAGTACAGGGAATTTTTCAAAAATTGGCCAATTTTTAAAATGGTCATAACTTGAGAAATTGAAGTCAGAATTTGCTCAAACTTTCTACACAGCATAAGGACGTCAATATGCATCAGAAAATGCAATAAAAATTTGGGGTAATTTCAGAGCCATTTTTCGGAAAAAACCATGGGCTATAGTACAGGGAATTTTTCAAAAATTGGCCAATTTTTAAAATGGTCATAACTTGAGAAATTGAAGATGGAATTCGCTCAAACTTTCTACACAGCATAAGGATGTCAATATGCATCAGAAAATGTAATAAAAATTGGGGGTGATTTTGGAGCCATTTTTCGGAAAAAACCATGGGCTATAGTACAGGGAATTTTTCAAAAATTGGCCAATTTTTTAAATGGTCATAACTTGAGAAATTGAAGATGGAATTTGCTCAAACTTTCTACACAGCATAAGGATGTCAATATGCATTAGAAAATGTAATAAAAATTTGGGGTAATTTTGGAGCCATTTTTGGCAAAATAAAAATTTGCTATTAAAATAATTCTAAAAAGATTGCATACAGTGCTTACCTCTTCACATCTCTATGTACTAATATCTCACCACATCCAGTGTGCAGATAATGTAGACCTGATGCAATGTCTCTCAGTATCTGAAACCTCCTCTCATTCCCGAGCTCCAACCTACTCAAGTGTTTATCCAGTGATCCCAATGCCATATAAGGATACACTAGACACAATGTGGACTGGTTGGAAGTGTAGCCAAGAAGTGGTAATAGGTTGGGATGTTTTAGTCTATAGAAAATGAAGAGGTGCTAAATAAGAATAAAGTACATTCAAATTTATATATATATACATGTATATATATATATATATATAAAGAAGTGGATAGATGAGAATAGGTTCATTAGCCTACCGTATAGCGCTTTAATTTGGCGGAGTTTTATTTTGGCGATTGGTGGTTTGCAAGCAGAATCGCCAATATTAAAACCGCCAATCATTAATGCGCATGCTCAGTAATGCACGTGTACACAAAAATCGCGAAATTAAAAACTGCCAATTACAATTTTACAGCAAAATCGCCAAAATAAAGTGCCATCAAAATAATTATTATTATTATTATGGTTTGGCATTATTGATTGTATTATTAGTGTGTTATTATTATTATTATTATTTATTTTATTATTTATGTAAGTCGAGGACGACCTTTAAGCAAAGAGGGGGGAATTGCAACTATTACTCCTAACTCATTATTTTATTTATGATCACTAATAATTATTAATGTTTATTTAATGAGTTATAACTATTGTTGGTTCTTTTGTGATAAGATTTTTGCTACTAAGTTGCCTAAGGATTCTGCCGCATTTAAGCCTGGCATTACAAAGTAAAGTGCTATACCGTATCATTCAACTAAGCATACAAAGTATTAAATATACATACATGTATACGTAAGTAATTATATTCATAGCAATACATGTACATGTATATGTTACTGATATGAGGGAAATGAAAAGTGAAAGTAACTCCATGAGGATTACCAGTAAACAAGCCATGATGTCATTTTAAAATACAAATCTACACACTTTAAATCAACTGACAGCTAAGGGAAAGTACAGGAGGGCATAGAGTAGAGGGAGAGTTTATAGTGATAATGTGTACAAGCTATTAGTGTATGTGTGTGTGTGTGTGTGTGTGTATGTGTGTGTGTGTGTGTGTATGTGTGTGTGTGTGTGTGTGTGTATGTGTGTGTGTGTGTGTGTGTGTGTGTGTGTGTGTGTGTGTGTGTGTGTGTGTGTG